TGAATCTGTAGATTGCTTTGGGCAGTATGGCCATTTAACAATATTGATTCTTTCAACCATGGCCATGGAATATTTTTCCATTTATTTGTGCCATCTCTGATTCATTTCAGCAGTGCTTTGTGGTTCTCCTTTTACAGACATTTCCTCTCCTTGGTTGGATGGATTCATAGGTATTTTATTTTTCCTGTGGCCATCGTCAATGGGAATGAGTTCTTGATTTGGCTCTCAGCTTGAATATTATTAGCGTATAGAAATGCTACTGATTCTTATACATTGTCTTTGTATTTTGAAACTCCACTGAAACTATATATCAGTTCCAGGAGACTTTTGGCAGAATGTTTATGGTATTTGATCTATAAATCATATTGTTGGCAAAGAGAGATAGTTTGATTTCGTCTTTTCCTATTTGGATGCCCTTCATTACCCTCGCTTGCTGGATAACCTGACTGGGACTTCCAGCACTATGTTGAATAAGAGTAGTGAGAGTAGGCATACTTATCTTTTTCTAGTTCTCAACAGAAATATTTCCAATTTTTGCCCATTCTGTGTGATGTTGGCTGCAGGTTTTTCAGAGATTGCTCTATTTTTCTGGAGGTATGTTCCTTCAGTGACTAATTTGTTGACAGCTTTATCATAAAGGGAGTTTGGATTTTATTGAAGGCTTGCTCTGCATCTGTTGAAATGATCATATGGTTTTTGTTTTTCATTCTGCTTATGTGGTGAATGTCATTCATTCATATGCATATGCATATGTTGAACCAACCTTGCATCCCAGGGATCAAGCTTACTTGAAAGTAACTTTTTGATATGCTGCTGAGTTTGGTTTGATGGCATTTTGTTGAGGATTTTTGTGTCTGTGGTCGTCAGGAATATTGGCCTGTAGTTTTATTATTATTATTCATTCTGTGTTTGCCAGGTTTTGGTACCAGGATAATGCTGGCTTCATAGAATCAGTTATGGAGAATCCTTCCTCCTCAATTTTTTGGAATAGTTTCAGTGGAATTGGTACAGCTCTTATTTGTACAACAGAATTCTGCTATGAATCCATCTGGTCTAGGTGTTTTTTGGTGCTAGGTTTTTTCATTAATGATTCAATTAGGAGCTTGTTATTTGTCCGTTCAGGGTTTGAATTTCTTCCTGATGCAGTCTTGGGAGGTTGTGTACTTCCAGGAATTTATGCAATTTACCTAGATTTTCTGGTTCATAATAGTGTCTGAGGGTCTTTTGTGTTTCTGCGGGATCAGTTGTAAGGCCTCCCTTGTCATTTCTGATTGTGCTTATTTGGATCTATTTTTTTCTTTATTAATCTAGCTAGCGGTCTATTAATCTTTTTAATCCTTTCAATAAACTAAGTTTGGTTTCATTGATTTTTAATGGATTTTTTGCATCTCAATTTGGTTCAGTTTTGCTCTGATTTTAGTTACTTCTTTTTGTGCTAGTTTTAAGGTTAGATTGTGCTTGTTTTTCTAGTCCCCCTGATTTGATGGCAGATTGTTAATCTGAGATGTCCAGGTAGGAATTTAGCACTATAAACTAACCTCTTACCACTGCTTTTGCTGCGTTCTAGAGATTTTGGTATGTTGTGTCTCCATTTCATTTATTTCAAAGAATTTTTGGATTTGTTCCTTAATTTTGTTGCCTATCCAAATGTCAATCAGGAAGAAGCTGTTTAATTTACAAATAACTGTGCAGTTTAGGGAGATCTTCTTGGTATTGTTTTCTATTTTTATTCCACTGTGATCCAAGAATACGGTTTGTATGATTTTGGTTATTTTTTTGAAATTATTGAGATTTGATTTATGGCTGAACATGTGGTTAATCTTTGACTATGTTCTGTATGTGGATAAGAAAAGTGTATATTCTGAGGTTGATGGGTGGAGTGTTCTGTAGATGTCTATTAGGTCCAATTGGTCAAGTGTCAAATTTAACTCCACAATTTATCTGTTAGTTTTCTGCCTCGATGATCTAACATTGTCAGTAGGGTATTGAAGTCCCCCAGTATTGCCTGACTGTCTAAGTCTTTTCATATATCTGGAAGTAGTGGTTTTACAAATTTGGGTGCTCTAATGTTGAGTGTGTATATACTTAGAATAGTTAAATTTCCTTGTTAAATTGAAAATTTTATCATTATGTAATGAATTCCTTGTCCTCTTTTGTTAGTGATCGTTTAAAGTCTATCTTATCTAAGAGTAACAACCTCTGCTCTTTTTATCCGTTTGCATGATAGATCTTTCTCCAATTCATTATGTGAAACTATGAATGTTGTTATCTGTGAGGTGAATTTTTTGAAGACAGCAGATGGATGGGTCTTGTTTATTTAACTGGCAACTCTGTGCCATTCACGTGGGGCATTTAAACTGTTTACATTCAAGGTTAATACTGATATGTACGACTTTGGCCCTATTGTGATATTTTTAGCTGGTTGCTTTGTAGTTTCTATTATTTGGTTGCTTTATATGGTCTGTTGGCTATGTACTTAAGTGTGGTTTTATGATAGCCAGTATCATTCTTTCATTCCCATGTTTAGAACCTTATATCTCTTGTAAGACTGGTCTAGTGGTAACAAATTTTCTTTGTGCCTGTTTGCCTGGAAGATTTTATTTCTTTTTTCGTATATGAACCTTAGTTTGGTGGGATATAAAATTCTTGCTTGGATTCTCTTCTGTTTAAAAATGCTGAAAATAGACCCATAGCATCTCCAGGCTTCTAAAGTTTCTGCTGAGAAGTCTGCTCTTAGTCTGGTGGGGTTTCCTTTGTATGTAATCTGACTTTTTCTCTATCTACCTTAAGGATTTTTTTCTTTAGTGTCAACCTTGGACAGTCTGATGACTATATTAGTTAGTGATGTTCATTTCATATATTGTCTCGCAGATGTTTTCTGAATTTCTTGTATCTGGATGTCTAAATTAGAGAGATTTTTACTAATTTCCTCAAATATGTTTTCCTATTTGTTTACCTTTTTTCCTTTCTCAGGAATTTCAGTAATTCATTGGTTTGGTTACTTTACAGAATTTCAAATTTCTCAAATATTATCTTTGTTTAAAATGTTTTTTATTTATTTTTGTCTGTGAACGATTGATCTTCAAGTTCTAAAATTTTTCTGCTTTGTTCAGACTAATGATAAATGTTTCAATTGTATTTTGAAATTACTTAAGTTTTTGGTTTTTTTTTTTCAATTCTAGAAGCTCTACTTGACTCCTGTTTCAGATTTTTATGTCTTCCTTCATTCCCTGGATTGGGGTAGAGGTTTATTTGTGTTGATTTTCTACCTTGTTTTAGATCTCGTTGCACTTCCTTGCAATCCCTGCTTTGAATTCTTTATCTGTTATTTCTGAGTTTCCATTTTGATTAGGAATCATTACTGAAGAGTTAGTAAGATCCTTTGGTGAATCCTACGTTCATATCTTTCATGGTGCCAGAATTCTTGTGCTTGTTCCTTCTCGTCTAAAGACACTGGCACATCTCATTTTTGTAATTATTTTCATGCAAGTAGGATTTTTTTCCCTCCTTTCCCTATAATATTATTGTTTCATTTTACTTTCCTTTTTTCTTTTTCCTTTTCCCAAGGTGGTGTGACTGTAGAGAATGCTAGGTAGGATATAATGGCTTTGATTCTATAACCCTATGCACTCCCTTTATGGGATTTTGTAGTGGGCTGTGCAGTTTGACTTACAAGCCAGTAGAGGGTGTTTATGGGTAACAGCTATCTGCAGCCCACATAGCTGGGTGTATACTTAATCTTCGTTTACTGGGTCTCAGAAGCTCTCCGTTACCTCAGGCAATGGGCTGATTCATGGAATGCACAGTAGTCTGAGCTTCCTGCTCTACCCTGGGACGTTTGAAAACCAAGATAAATGTGGTCAGATTAGGCAGGTCAACATACAGGTCCTCCAGTGGCAGGCACAATCACCAGTGCTGAGGGAGAATCCAGAGGGCAGACACTAAGCAACCAGAGGGGACCCTAGACATGGACCTGGGAAACCTCCTGGGCCCCAAGTTCTCTTTACAGAAGGTGGGGCAGCCTGAAATCTTAATCCAGGATAGTGAGTGCTCCAGATATATGGATATCTGCCTGGGCATGAAGCAAAGAGGACCCCTCTGCTCCAACACACACACACACACACACACACACCCCCAGATCTCGGCACAGGAAGAGTGGGGTGGGTCAGGCTGGTGACTCAGGCAAGCATGTGCTCTGAATGCCTGAAGATCTGCTTGGGGGTGGGGCAGAGAGGGTCCCACTGCACCACAATCTATTTCCATGAAGGTTGGGGTAGCATAAAAGCTGCTGGTTCAAACAAGTGAGCCCTCCAAATGCCTGGAATTCTGCCTGGTCCTAGAGCAGAAAGGGCTCTACTGCACCATGCTCTCAGTGGAGTAGTCTGGGGTACCTAGCAATGACACATGCAGAGTGCTTCCAGGTCATCAAGTTGGACTTGTCTTCAAGGTCACTTGTCACTCAGAAGAAACTACAGCAGTAGCAGCTTTCCTACCACCACAGGCCTGTGAGAGGGAAGAGCACAATTCCAGAGTTTACTACTCAGGTGCTTTTCACAATTCTCACTGTTAAGGCCCCTCACTCACTCCAGAACAAGTGCTCCAATCTCTTGCCCAAGACAGAAATGTCCACACAGCCACACTGCCGGGTTGCCAAAAAACAGATGACTTTGTATGAACCCGGATGAAAAATGGCATCTTGCTGTCAGTCCCAGATCTGGAAAAATGCCTGTAGCTTCTGGTGTCATTCCCTTTCAGTGCCTCAAGCCTCTCCCCAAGTTAGCACCAGCACTTGGGAGAAAGCACTTTCCCTCAGCTTGGGTTGCTTGACTCTTTGGTGGAAAGTTAAGTCACAGAGGGAGGCTCTCTGTCTCTTTCACATACTGGAGTGTCTCTCTGTCTCTGTCTCTTTCACATGCTGGAGTCTCTGTCTCTGTCTCTTTCACATACTGGAGTGTCTCTCTGTCTCTGTCTCTTTCACATGCTGGAGTGTCTCTCTGCTCTCTGTCTCTTTCACATACTGGAGTGTCTCTCTGTCTCTGTCTCTTTCACATACTGGAGTGTCTCTCTGTCTCTGTCTCTTTCACATACTGGAGTTTCACTCACTTTTATCAGCTAGTTGCTGTCATGGGGGCTGTTTGGCTATGTTATCCTCCCTGGGATCTGGAGTGTCCAGAATTTTAGTGTGCTCCCATTTTCCTTTTTGAATTAAAGCTCACAGAGTTAATGTTTATGCACTGTCTTGCTATTTCCAAGTAGCCGAGGCACACTAAAAGCCTTCAATCCAACATCTTAGGGAAAAAACCCACAAACACAAATAGTTTAAATTTACAGAGAAGTTACAATTATAATACAAAAGATTTTCCATATGGACCATAACTAGTTTTCCCTATAGTTTCCCCTACTTTTTATTACTATGGTATATTTTTCACAAATAATGAATCAATCGTAATACATTAGGATAAACAAAAGTTTATACATTATTCAAATTTTTCAGTGTTACCTAATGTTCTCTTTTTCCTCTAGGGTCTCATCCAGATACCACATTATATTTAGTTGTCTTGGTTCCTTAGACTCCTCTAGACTGTGAGTTTCTCAGGTCTTCCTTGTGTGTGTTTTTTTTGTTTTGTTTCGTTTTGTTTTGTTTTTCTTTTTTATGACCTTGACAATTTTGAGAAGTACTAGTCAGGTATTTAATGGAAAGGTCATTGGCTGGAGTTTGTCTGATGTTTTTCTCAGTAGTAAATTGGGGTCGTGGGTTTTAGAGAAGAAGAACACAGAGGTAAACGGACATTCTCTTCTCCTTAATTTGAAGCTGCATTCAAGGGTACAACTGCCCCACCCCCAAGCGGATCTCCAGGCATTCAGAGCACAAGCTTGCCAGAACCAGCAGCCTGACCCACCCCACTCCTTCTGTGCAGAGATCCTGGGGAGTGTGCGTGTGTGTCTGCGTGTGGGGGGCCCTCTGCTCTATCACCAGGCGGATACTATCAACTTGAATTATCACAGATGATGCTAACTTCATGTACGTGGCTGAGATATTGTTTGCCAGATTTTGGTAAAGTTACTCTTCTTCTTAAGTTCCTCTTTTCAAACTGTAAAGTGTTTTCTGTTTATTGGTTTATTTGTTTTTCTTCTTTTTCATACTGCGCCTTTGGGAGAAGATCACTATGTGCCGCCTAAACTTACGGAGTGGGGAGTTCTGTTGCACCATAAATGCATGTACATAAATCACTCTGGATTCTTCGGTATGTGGTATTTGAATATGAACTTATGGTTATTTGTTTTGCGGTTTGTGTTATAAACCAGTACTCCTTTATTTATTGCTATTTTTTTTTCCAGCTTTGGCCATTGAGAGCTTTTTCAGTTGATTCCTGTGTTCCATTGACATACCCTCATTAATGTGTGTGACTGTGTGTGTGTGTGTGTGTGTGTGAGTGTGTGTGTTTGAAGCACTTTCTCCCTTTCTAGCACAATAAGATGTTCCACAGGCATCTTCTACCTTCCCTGCCTCAGCCGTAGAATCAATTATATCTCCAGGAAGTCCTGGTTCATTTTGTTGGAGAATGATGTTGGAAAGAAAGATCTGGGCACTTGCAGCATTCATTGCCACTGAGGAACCCTTGCTTCTAGGCCCTCTCAGCTAACAGAGGAAGGGAATATATGTGTATATAATAAGTTTTATATATACTTATATCTATAAATATTTATATATGTATTCCTCTGTATTTGTTCTGTTTGTATTATACTGATTACACTGATATCTCCAACTAATTCACTACTTCATGAGTCATACAAGTTTTCTCCCCTTACTTATCTGAGCTTTTATAAAACTAATTATTAAAGTGTATAATCATATTATGGAACTGTGTTTTATACTTCAATATAGGGTGGTTGGAAGGGAAGTTTGTGAGCATTTATTTGAAAATCTATCATTTAACAAGTATAAAAACTGAGGCATAGAGCATAGTCTGCATTCAAAAGAAAATAGAGAATTTCATTTTACATATCTTTAAAATGACCTATAAGTAGAGCTTTTCTAAGAATAAGTTGAATATATTCTGTTGTCACCTAGGATAATGCCTCTTGTCATTGACTTCTCTTATGTTAAGTAAACACTTCTGTGTGTAGGAGAATCATGTTCACCTAGTTGCCACTCCTATCCTCCACTCCTTTGGAGCCTCTGAAAAGTCTACAAGTCCCAGCACCTCTACATTCAGGCAGGGAGTGACAGTGACACTTCTAGGCTGAGGATGATGAGTGAAATCCCAGGTGACCTTGCTTCCCTAAGGGGAAGCAACAAGTATAACTTTTTTGTCTTGCTTTTGTTTATGTAATAAATAATAAATGGCAATTTATGTTAGCTTTCAGCCACTTTGAAATGCTCTATTTCAATTTTAGCTTAAAAAAATTACACATTATACATAACTTTTTATTATTATTGCTATTAAATTAAATGGTATTTATACTTGAGTGGTTGTAATTCTGGGTATATTGAGTGATTCTGGAAATAAATGACAAATTTTGTAATGACAATTAAATGGTATTGAAAGAGAAAATACCTGCTAGTAGAAATAAGGGATATTTTGTGGGGGATAATTTTTTGTTTTTGTTTTTGTTTTAGCACCTAGAAGGATAGAGTCTATATGTCAATTTAGGAGAATTCCAGGGAAGTAATTTAATTCTGGTGGAAGACTATCAGATGCAGTTGAAAATGGACATGGATAAACTAGAGCTCATAAACTGGTGACAATAATTTTGAAGTGGATACATTTAGGCAAAATAAAAAGAGATTTTACACACACACACACACACACCACCATCATTATGTACATAACCAGGACATTTTATATTTAAATTACATCATAGAAATAGTTGCTCAGAAAAGTTCACCTATCGATACCCCTGGAGAATGTGTAATTGCTTGAAATTAGCTTAAATTGTATTTTATAAAGTCTCAGTGGAAACTTAAATGTGTTGCTTAAACAATATTTTGTATTAAATATAGTTTCACATTTTCATTGTCATAAAAAGACTCTCAAGTCACTATGAGGTTTGACACTGAAAAGACAAAATAATACATATACTGATTCCTACTAGACAGCTGGAATCTGCAAGCTCCTGAAGAATAAATAAAATGACAAAAACTGAGCCTGGAAAAAGCAATGGAATGGTATTTGTTCTAACACAATCCTTTCAGACTATATCAGAATTTCCCAAAACAAATAAATTCTTCTCCGGAATGTTTCTGAAAATCAGAATAAATTTCGGAATACCTTCAATTTAAGTTTTATAGATTCTAAAATTTGAAAATCAAATGAAATCAGTTCAAAAACAAACCTCTTTGAACACTGAGTACTCAGAGATGGAAAATGTCTGGGCATCATATTTGAGGAGCACACAGGCAGGGAAAGAACACAAAGACCAAGTGTAATCAGCACTGTAACACTCTAATAGAGCCTGGTGTTCAGTACTAGGAATACAGGGATGTATTCGTACATCTCTGTTGATTACAAGGTCTGGTTACAAGGTGGCATGAGGGGAAGAAGATAGGAACAGATAAAACAGCAAGGTTTTATGCTCTCAGTTCATTGGTCAACAATTTAATACACAACTCTTAGACTCTCTTTACACTAATCACTAAAATAATAAAGAATTGAGAATAAAGAACAAAAATGATTGTTGCCATAGTGTAGTCTTCCAGTGAGGACATGACCTTATAGACACCTCACATAAAATAGGATCTTAAAATTCAGGGCCGTCTGAAGACTCTACTTTTTGGAATAGAAGATTTCTTCTTGAGAAATTATATCACATTGTATATTTGACTGAAATAAGAAATGTAAATAAAGGATACAATAGAAAACTAGAGACTATTTAGAGAAAAATGTTGGGCTTGAATTTGTTTTAGTCAGGAAAACACAAAATGTCTCCATTACCCATTCAGATTGAAGACATAAGTTGTTCACCTATCACAATGATTTTATTTATGTATTTGAAATATTAGTAGAAGGAATTAATAAAATATAAGCAAAAGATAGCTGCAGCCTAAGAATTTGGCAGTGAAGAAAATTATATTTTTCCTTAAAAGGTAATATAAGCATACAAGATGAGAAGAAATCATGAACATTACCAAAAGGGAAAATAAGTTTTGATCCTTGAGGACAACTAAATGGATGAAAAGTATGAACTCAGATAAGTGGAAGAATAGAAGAGACAGTGGTCAAAAAGAAGAGTCCAGAGAGCAGCCAAAGAATTTTAAAGTGTGTTGTGGATGTCTGCTCCCATCACAGAGAGCAAGGCTTTAGGAGACTAATGACATTAAACATTTAAAATATGCAAGTGGCCTTCTTTGTTCTTGTTTGTGAATTTGAATTCCCATGAGCTGCCTTAAAAAAAATTCTCAGCCCAGTCACTATGAGATAGTGATGTTTCTGGACAGTTATTTATCTCATTGTAAAGTATTAATATAAGGAAATTTCTTTGGCTTTTGTTCTGTTCTTTGGGACCATTTCATATTCCACAAAATGCTAACTTCAAGACAGTTACAGTTCAATGATAGACATATAGAAAGAATTATAATTTATGTTTCTTAAAAGAATAACTTTTTGAAGTATTTGAGCAAAAGGTCACAAAAATGGCAAGCTGAACACCACCTCAAAGAAACCACAACTCATTTTGGTACTACTTGTGTTAACCAGAGAGATGAGGAGAAAATGTTCTAGTATTAAAAATGCACTACACCTAGGAAGGAGTAAACATAGGACATAAAAGCTATGGATTTTTTTTTTAATTATACTTTATGTACTAGGGTACATGTGCACAATGTGCAGGTTTGTTACATATGTATACATGTGCCGTGTTGGTGGGCTGCACCCATTAACTCGTCATTTACATTAGGTATATCTCCTAACGCAATCCCTCCCCTCCTCCTCCCCACAATAGTCCCCAGTGTGTGATGTTCCCCTTCCTGTGTCCAAGTGATCTCATTGTTCAATTCCCACCTATGAGTGAGAACATGCGGTGTTTGGTTTTCTGTTCTTGCGATAGTTTGCTGAGAATGATGGTTTCCAGCTGCATCTATGTCCCTAAAAAGGACACAAACTCATCCTTTTTTATGGCTGCATAGTATTCCATGGTGTATCTATGCCACATTTTCTTAATCCAGTCTGTCACTGATGGACATTTGGGTTGATTCCAAGTCTTTGCCATTGTGAATAGTGCCACAATAAACATACGTGTGCATGTGTCTTTATAGCAGCGTGATTTGTAATCCTTTGGGTGTATACCCAGTACTAGGATGGCTCGGTCAAATGGTATTTCTAGTTCTACATCTTTGAGGAATCGCCACAATGTCTTCCACAATGGTTGAACTAGTTTACACTCCCACCAACAGTGTAAAAGTGTTCCTATTTCTCCACATCCTCTCCAGCACCTATTGTTTCCTGACGTTTTAATGATAGCTATTCTAACTGGTGTGAGATGGTATCTCATTGTGGTTTTGATTTGCATTTCTCTGATGGCCGGTGATGATAAGCATTTTTTCATGTGTCTCTTGGCTGCATAAATGTCTTCTTTTGAGAAGTGTCTTCTGTTCATATCCTTTGCCCACTTTTTGATAGGGTGGTTTGTTTTTTTCTTGTAAATTTGTTTGAGCTCTTTGTAGATTCTGGATATTAGCCCTTTGTCAAATGAGTAGATTGCAAAAATTTTCTCCCATTCTGTAGGTTGCCTGTTCACTCTGATGGTAGTTTCTTTTGCTGTGCAGAAGCTCTTTAGTTTAATGAGATCCCATTTGTCAATTTTGGCTTTTGTTGCCATTGCTTTTGGTGTTTTAGACATGAAGTCCGTGCCCATGCCTATGTCCTGAATGGTACTACCTAGGTTTTCCTCTAGTATTTTTATGGTATTAGGTCTAACACTTAAGTCTCTAATCCATCATGAATTAATTTTTGTATAAGGTGTAAGGAAGGGATCCAGTTTCAGCTTTCTACTTGTGGCTAGCCAGTTTTCCCAGCACCATTTGTTAAATAGGGAATCCTTTCCCCATTTCTTGTTTTTGTCAGGTTTGTCAAAGATCAGATGATTGTAGCTGTGCGGTATTAATTCTGAGGGCTCTGTTCTGTTCCATTGGTCTAGATCTCTGTTTTGGTACCAGTACTTTGCTGTTTTGGTTACTGCAGCCTTGTAGTACAGTTTGAAGTCAGGTAGCGTGATGCCTCCAGCTTTCTTCTTTTGACTTAGGATTGTCTTGGCAATGCAGGCTCTTTTTTGGTTCCATATGAACTTTAAAGTAGTTTTTTCAAATTCTGCAAAGAAAGTCATTTGTAGCTTAATGGGGAAAGCATTGAATATATAAATTACCTTGGGCAGTATGGCCATTTTCACGATATTGATTCTTCCTCTCCACGAGCATGGAATGTTCTTCCATTTGTTTGTGTCCTCTTTTATTTCATTGAGCAGTGGTTTGTAGTTCTCCTTGAAGAGATCCTTCACATCCCTTGTAAGTTGGATTCCTAGGTATTTTATTCTTTTTGAAGCAATTGTGAATGGAAGTTCACTCATGATTTGGCTCTCTGTTTGTCTGTTACTGGTGTATAAGAATGCTTGTGATTTTTTTCTCATTGATTTTGTATCCTGAGACTTTGCTGAAGCTGCTTATCAGCTTAAGGAGATTTTGGGCTGAGATGATGGGGTTTTCTAAATATACAATCATGTCATCTGCAAACAGGGACAATTTGACTTCCTCTTTTCCTAACTGAATACCCTTTATTTCTTTCTTTCCCTTGCCTGATTGCCCTGACCAGAACTTCCAACACTATGTTGAATAGTATAAAAGCTATGGATTCTTACTTCGATGTCTATTCCAGGAGATGTTTGGATAGTAAATATAATACAACACTAAAATTCCTCCCAATATTCTCATTAGACCTGTGTTCAAGGTTTATTTCAAGTTCAGATATACAAATAAAGCCCTTGGGTCCCCTGTGATCACAGAGAAAGTAGGAGATGGGGGTTTTGGGGAAAGCTTCCCATCAGCTGAGCATGGGCTGGGCCATTCCTTCATTCCCCCTGTATTTAGATTGCCCTTAGTAGGCCAGTCTGCTGAGCACTGAGATACACTATGTGGACCTGTACTTCTGTGAGACTATTACTTTCTCCTAAACTAAGAGCTCTGCAAACAGTCTTCAACAGATGTTAAACTGCTTTAGCTGGTGCTCTTAGAAATATAGTAGGAAGTATAATGTAGAATGGAATGCTTAGAAAGGAAGTTCTATGGATTGCTGTTGTCATTCTCAGTGGAATTAGGCAGGACAGCAATGTTTGGAGGTCTGAGCATGGCCTGACGTGGTAACCCACTCTCTGAGCTTGCCTTACCACTCCTCATTCTCTGGTCTGTGGTAATTTGCAACTACGCTGAATTTCCTTTGTTTGATTAGATTGAAAAAAAGAGAGGGACAATATACAATTAACAGTAAAAATAATGATTTTAAATGATTTGAAATAATTAAGCTCTAGATAATTGTAAAGCTGTTAGTAATAAACTGAAAATTACCCAGCACCTTATAGCTTCACAGCTGGAAGGGCCTTTTGAGAGTTATTTAGCTCAAACCTCTTGTTTCACAGATGAGAAATTGGATCTCCAGTTGCTGAGGGTTGAAAGAGAAGATATGGGAAAAGAAAGTTCATTCATAATTGAACAAATGGAATTTGAGTTTCTAGTAAGATGTCTGGTGGGAAATATTCATTAGGCATTAGGAAATTTGATAACAGAACCAGGATTCTTTCCTACATAGTATTTATTTTGAAACAATTTTTTTTCCCAAAATTTTATGGCTCTGGTAAGTATCACATGTTTGTTCCACCAAGAAGGGTTATATTTCTCTATCTATTGGGAACAAAGAAGTTAAACTAACATTACTCCAAAATTTTCTACCAAGTCCTTTCCCTCTAGGATTATGTTTATGAACATGCGGCAATTCTAGCTTCCCTGGGACTTCCTTTACTCTGTGACTCTCTAGAACTTCTGAACACAGTTCTTTTTGTAGTAGCCACATCCTCTATGTGGGTGCCTGTGGTCTGTGAATGCAGAACATGCTGTGGGCCTC